GTTTTATAATATAGGTTTTTTTTTTTTTTTTTTTTTTTTTTTTTTTTTTTTTTTACTATAGGACGCATGCGCTTGCCAGAAAGACGAGAGAGAGAGAGAGAGAGAGAGAGAGAGAGAAAGAAAGAAAACAAATCACCAGGTGGGATGGCCACACGGCAATCCCTTCTCCTCCATTCTCCTCTTGGAATCTTGGGCACACATGCACATGTGCCTGGCATGATTTTAAGCCACCAGGTCTGGGACTCAAACCGTGGTCAACTACATGGGAGTCCAGTGACAGCCATTATGCCAACTGCTAGTCCCTAGATATAGTCTTTTAAACAAGGTCTTGTTCTGCGCCTGAATGAGACTATGGTTATTGGACATCCTATATGGTAAAATGTCTGTTTCATGTATAGAAGCACTTCTGTGGCCTTCAGTGGAAGTGGTGCTTGTGCATTTCTGTGGGGGCAGCTTCTTAGATGGCCATGGTGTGGGAAGAAGGTAGTGACCCATCACATTGTCCTGGTGAGAAACCTCGTTCAAAGCCAGCTGCCTCTTTTAGACCTATTCATCTAAGAAATGTGTGGGTTTTATCAGACTGTGCTTATTATTGCCAAAATATTTTAAATATAGTAATATTTGTTGAAAAGCATTTTCCTAGGAGATAGTGCAATTGATTTTTAAGCTTGTAAGAACCTACTACTTAAAGCAGGACAAAGTTGCAGAGAGGAGGATAAAGAAAGAAGAGTGTGTTATGTAAAACTATATTATGTTTTTAATTTTCTATCAAAGGGATAATTCTTAAGGAAAAATCATGACCTATGCCAGTAACTCTACTCTTACTGCCAATTGCCTAAGCAAATTGTTATGTTATTTCCTTCCCTGGTAGTACTCTCGTCTACAGATTTTTGGGCTGAAAGTTAGTTGTTTAGTGACACTGCATTTGGCGGCGAATGTTTGAATATGAGAAGGTGTTTTGGAACATTAGCAATTATAGCATTGGATAGTGGATATAGAAATAGATATATAAATATTAGACCGATGCATAGTTTTCCAGTCTATGTTATTTTCCATATAAAGATATAGAACATTTCATAAAATGTTCCCAGACCATTTAAAACTCAAAGAAATGCAGCTGACGCAATGAAATACATAGAGTACTTGTAAAAACATACAGACACGCAAGTGGATTGCTGCCAGACAGAAAATTTAAAGGCGGTTTGCTTAACTGCAGGGTGCTAGGTTTTGTACATGTGCCATGCTGAAACTGTTAGGAAGGCGGGTGTTGTGTTGCTTGAGAAAAGCAGATTGTATTTGGACCTTTTTAACTCAGATGTTTCCAGTGTCGATATTTTGGTGACATTATGGCATTGTGACTAACTTAAGTGAAAAAAGATTTCAACTGCTATTGTAAAATAGACATTTTAAGAAAATTTAAATTATTTGCATTCTTTTGTTAATTTTTGCAAAATGGCTTTTATAGTCTTATTAGCTATCAGATAATCTTTGAGCTAATTGAATGAAATTTTATTGGTGAGACTTGTGTTTTAAAAAACATTGCTTTTAGTTTTTGCTTATTTTTTCCTTTTTTAAAAGTATTACTTTAGAGAACCCATGACATTTGTTTTTGTAAACCTTGGACCAAAAACGTTTTAGGTTAAATCATAGTAAATAATAAAGCATGTATTGGAACATTATTCTGTTAAAATCTGTGAATCTCACTTTAGGAATAGTCTTGAGACAATTGAAGGAATTTAATGGATGGTGTTTATGTTGCCTACTGTTGAAGCAGTATTTAGAATAATGTGGTTTGATTGGCCTCCCTCTTGGCATTCCATGGTCATTTTTATCTTCAGTGTGTTAAAATATGTTCATTTTAAAAGTGCATTTTCTCTTTTTAAAATTCTACTCTTCTTTATATGAATAAAACATTTTTAAGTGATGAGTTTTTGTTAATATTATTTATTATAGAATTGACCAAAGAAATTAAAGCACCTTTTCCTGCTCTCTCTGAACACAAAACTTTTTTTAAAATACAAGACCTTACTAAAAATTTTGGTTTCTGATGTTTTACCCCTCATGAAAACAGTGATAGAAAAATAAAGTCTTTGGTTTTATTTCTATTAGTATTTGTGGTTCCCAGGAAGCACAAACTACTGCAAGAAAAAGGACATGATATTAAAGATTTATATGTGAGTCATTTCTGTATGAAGTGTTCTAGTTGAAGAATAAGTGTTAGTCACATGACAATTGGAAGACAAAGAATAAGCTTTAGATGATTTTGTGGCCTTCCCAACCCCCATTGTATGAAGCCCTGCAGCAGCAGAGAGCTGCAATTTTTTGGTCTCTGGGCAGGTTTTAAGTTATTTATGTATGTATTAGGAATGATAGCCACTGCCCTCTGTTTTTCAGGCTCTCCCCACTTCAGGCCTTCTCCTTTTGGCCACCATTGTACACTGAATTTTGTTGGACATCAGGCTTCCCTTTGCCTCCTGCTGATTAATTCTTCTCTGTAGGCCTAATACTTTTCATGCCATACTATCAGTGCCCTCTGGCCTCCTGTCTCAGGAGGGCTGAGTCCCTGTGTGGTTTATTCTTTCAGACCAAAGGCAGGTAACAGTTTCTTTACCTGGCTTATTACCGGGGCAGCCCTGAATGGCATTACTCTAAAACTCTCCTAATCCTGGTTTACACATATCACCAATCCCATCTTAGCAGTTAAAGACGAAGGTAAAGAAAGAAATTAATTCCCAATTTTTAATCCAATCAGAAGATACTTCAAGAGCCTAAAGTTTCTGCAGATAGTTTCAACTGTTTTGCACCACCCATCTTGGGAAGCTTTGCTTTTGGCTTGACCTTTTGTATATTTCTGCTTTCGTTTTTAGTCTTGGTCTTAAAAAGATAGTGTTCATTGGTTTTCCTGACTTAAAAACCAGTACATCTAGGACTTATATATAATAGGTGAATAGGCCTTCAGTTTTTTTGCTTCTTGATTCTTCACTGAAGAACAATTAACTGCATTTCTCTATTGTGGCTTGGAGAGTTTTAACTTCTACATGAATTCGCTTTCACAGAGAAGTAAATTGGCATTTTGTGTGGTTTTAAAAGACAGATATTTAAAGATAGAAAAGTAAGTAGTATATATTATGATTGGTTTTAGAGGGGAGACCCTCAAAAACTATGCTTTCTGTAAGCCTTTTGCATTGATACATGGTTTCTCAAATTGATACTATTCTGATCATTCCTCTTAATGTGTCTCTGAGGAGCCACATCTTTTTCTTATTAGAAAAGATTGAATGTTTTCCTAATCGATAGTAAATGGAGCACTAATAGCTTTTAATTAGTACACTTCTGTATTGATTTACAGACGATGCCATTGGATTATCTTGCAATTATGATTTAAGAATCAAGTGACCTCTTTAGTAATTCCATTTTAAATAGGTGGTCACAAAGAGTATTTTCACCTATGTATTTTTGTAGTTCCTAAGCAAGTACAATTATGTCAGAAGGAACATAATTTCTCATATGATATTTTATTTATACTGGAAGCCAAAAGTGCTGGTTCTGTTTTGAAGAAAACTTCATCTAATTTCATCTGTATTTTCATATGTATTTATAAGCATTACAGGAAGGATATATTTTATTTTTAAAAGCAGTGAGTTTTGCATTTGTTCCTTTAAAGAATTCTCTCACTCCCCTTTCTGCCCAGTCTGAAACTGGTGCTTAAAGGGGCTTATCGAGCCCACATCTGTAACTATGAAAAGGAGGCTCCTGATTAGAAAAGAAAAGTCAAGCAGGTTTAAGACTCATTTTCTCTGGAAAAATATATTGAGGGCAATTTGAAGCTGGCAAGATTTTTGCATTAGGTAATAGTCTAAAGTTAACAGTAGCATCAGGTCTTTAAAATTTTTCTTTTTTATATTTCTGGAGGAGGGTAATGGGAGTGCCTTGCCGAGTCCTTCCTTGTGCTCATCAACATAGCAGCCTCAGCTGCCCCCCTTGGATCCCCTGCCAGGGCTGCTATCATCTTCTGATCAAATATTAATGTGTGATCCTCTGCTTGCTCACTAATCCAAAGCCAATTAATATTATCTGTCAATTATTTACAGATCCTGAGGTGCAGAGGCAATTCCCGGAGGACTACAGTGACCAGGTTCGGAATGCGTAATTAATTTTTTACATGACAAAATTTATTTCAGAGTTGTTCAACATATTATTACTGTTCTTTTTACTGAAAGAGATAAATGAATTTTTAGAAGGGAAGAGAAGCAGTAATTAGGAACCAAAGACAAAAAAAAATAAAACAGTAAAATATATTGAAATAGTATTGGATATATTGGTGCTAGATTTGGGTTGTTATCTTCAGGTAGAAAATGCATAGAAAGGAAGGAAGAAAATCTATCACAAATTTTACTTTTTACTTTGAGGTGTACTAGTCTGCAGTTCATTAAGAAATCCTTTTTGGATTGAAAGTGAACTTTTAATTTTAAAAAATGCTATTTATATGATTAAGAAGCTGTGTAACAAAAAAGGGGGAGAGAAAGAGAAGGCTTATATTATTTCTTTGAATTCAAAAAAGCTGATGAAACTATGTGTTACGATAGTACAAGAAGGAGAAGATATACATGCAGGAAAGGTCTTTAGGGTATGGGTGGTTCTGATGATGATAATGAAAGTTAAGGTTGATCAATTTGTTCTGCCATCTCAAATTTCTAGCATTCTACAGCATGGAATGGAGAAGAGGGAACGATTTTACTCGCAAAATAGTGCCAAAGTCCTGATGTTGCTCTTCTCTTTATAATTACTTCCAGGTTATACACTGAGAATTTCAGTTTCTGTCTTGAGGAATATTAGCGATGTTTTATAGTCCTTTTTGGCACCTTACATTTTAAGTTCAAATATACAATCTGGTATACTTTAAAAACAGTTTTGAAGTAAAAGCATCCTGTTTACACTGAATAAGACAACTTTATGAAATCTTTCACATGCTGTATGTCGTATATAATAAAAGTATGTTTCTGAAGTACATCCATTTAAGTTTTTCTGTTAAAGTCCTTGAATGAATATAAGTACAATGGAATAAAATACCTAGTACAGGAGTAGTAACACCTTTGCAGTGTGGCCTGCTGTACAGAACGCAAGGTGTCTGATACTTTCTAATGAATACAGAAGACATAATGTAACCAGGAATGTAACTAGATAAAATCAGTATAATGAAATGCTTTGTAATGAGATTTTAGAGTATAGAAACCCAAGAGTGCTGGAATGGTTTGCTTTGTTTCTGATCTCAATTTTAAAAATATTAAAATCTACTCACCTTATACCTTGCTTCATCTTCTACTAGGAGAGTTAAATTTTGATCTTGCCTTAAATGGTTATGGGATTGAGCCCTTTGGGTTTATACTATCAAATCCAAAGATTACAGGACCTTGTTATTAATAATTATTTTCTTTAAACAATGGTTAAATGATGGAAAATCTTGAATAGTTTAATAAACAATAGTTTAGAATATGCTTGAGGCTGTAACTCTTAAGAAAATTATTGGTCCAAAATTTTGTATCTAGGTAAAATAACCTTTGCAGTCCCATGATCTGAATTATCCAGTGAGAGAAAGTTTTGTAGGAGAAAACTTAAAATAGCATAGTTACCATCTGGGTCTATTTCTTTATACATGGTTTCATACTATATCTGAAAAATTTTGCACATCATTTTTTTTTTTTAGTATAACCTTAAAAAATTGCTCGGGTAATATGTTCATGACAAAAAAATGTAGAAAATGTCGATAAAGCAAAAATGAAAGAAGAATGAAAAGAGAAGATTCAAATCAACCATATTTTACTACTCAGAGATAGCCATTGTAAAAATTTGGTATTTATCTTTCCATGTTAATTTCTCTAACTACATGTATATGTTTGTGTGTTTGAAGAGAGATTGCATGTATATATGTATACAAACATGAACTATGCATGCATATGTTTCTACAGAGAGAATTGTAGACTCATCAATTCTGTCATTGCATGTGGCACCCAGTTGACTGATTAGATGTTGTTCTGTTATGATCTTAGTTCTCTTCATTTGGTTAATGGATACAGGCAGTTTGTATATTAAAGTTGGAATAATGAAAATTATAGTGGGAAACTAATGATAGCTTTAGTTATCTTAAAGGTGCTTCTAAGGTAGCAGTGGTTGTTTTCTTTGTTTAGATCAGTGACATGGTTTTGAAGTTTGGAGAACAATACTTGTGGGCTAGATCCAGACTATAAGATTGTGGCCATCACTGCCTTATTTAGCATCTCCTACAACTGTACACACATCATCTCTCCCTTTCTCCTAATATAACTCAAAAAATAATGAATGAAGGAGCTACTTTGTTTTTAGAGACGTTACCCCAAATTCCTAGAAATTTGAGAGTTGTTATCTACTGCTAGAGAGAATCAGAAGTACATGTTTCTTACTTATCTTTCTATCATTTAGGTTCTAATGTTATGTTTTTTTCCTTCTTAGCATTTGTTGGATTAAGCCAAATTATCTTTCCCCTCTGGGTTCCTATTATAAATTTACATTCTTAGAAATATTTCTATTTCATATAAGCCTTAAATGCTGAATATACACCTAATCTAGATAACATTTCTAGTGTTAAAACATTTATGATG